TATTGCTTCGGTAAAAATCGGTGAAATTAAAATTCCTCATTTTACTGGTAACAAATCAAATCATACATGAAATAAAATCATCTTTCATTGAAATTATAGGTACATTTACACTGGCGCCGTGGATATCAAGGGATATGACATAAAGGACATAATCTGTTTAATGGTAGAGGCCAAAAAGCTAATTCTACCGGATCTTATAGATTACATTCGAAAATACTTAACCGACCACCAGGAGTTCGTAGCTAACCACTACTTTTCTATTCACGAGTTCAACATACGAAACTCTGAAGAATTTAATGAATTAGAAGAATTGTGTGACGCATTTATTTTACGATATTCAGTTGCAATACTTAATTCGCCCGAATTCCTTAACATTAGTCACGAAGAGCTTTTACGACTCTATAAAAAAATTTTTAGCAACTGTACACCATTGAATGATTTTAATCCCATCTCGGGAATATCTTTTTCGTCGGATATTGTCATGTGGAGTAGGTTATTGGAATGGGTATTTGTACATTTAAACATTTCATCTTCGGAAACCTCGGATGAAGATTATAATGAAATCATGCAGTTGGTCAAACCCGTTTTGCCATATATTAATTTTAGAAGGATTGATTCACGCGACTTTCTGGAAAAAATAAGTCCTTTCAAGAAGATTTTGGAAAATGAATTTTATATAAAAATTTTGGAATTTCATATATTCAGTGAATTTATTCGACAAGAGTCCGAGTTACAACCAGAACACGAAACCAAAAATGAACCCAATGAGAAATAGTAACTATCGATCAGAGAAAAATTAGAATCTTATATTTTCGGAAAGATTGGTAGAGCAGACCGGGAGATCCGTAGTTTTGGAGGAAATTTTGGTCAGCCAACAGTTTTGGCAAAAGCAGCCAGTCAGGACAAGGACTTATAGATACACTGTTGAGATTGCATTTACCGAAAGTACCATTACATAGAAGGCTACAAAGGTTCTTTGCGAGACCATTTCGTCTAAATTTCTGCTTATCAAACGATCTGCTACCATCATTGATTTTGTCGCAATG